TGACAGTACTACAAATGGGGAAGCACTCTTGAAGATATCTGAACGACCTTCTTATAAGACCCAATAATTTGTTTGCCTGATTTACCTTCTTCTCGCAATGGCCCGAGAACTTCAGCTCATTGTCAACATACACATCTAGGTCTTTCTCACATTCAGTCTCAAATTAGTGCAGTTTCTTCATCCCGTTGGGACATATGATACGCCTGCATACCATTGGTACGCCCCAGGTGCATCCTCTTACACTTCGTGACATTGAATCTCAGCAGCCATTTCTTCGACCATTCTTGGAGCTCACAGAGGTCCTTCTGCAGCTCTTCACAGTCCGCTTGGTTCTTGATTTCCCGAAATAACTTGGCGTCATCGGCAAACATTTGTGTGGAGGAGTGTACAACGTCAGGCATGTCATTTATGAAACAAAAAAACAACAGCGGACCCAATACACTGCCCTGTGGTACCCCGTTTGTGACAGGGACGGATGATGATTTAGTACCATTAATCACCACCCCTTGCGTGCGGTCATGTAGAAAGTCTTCTATCCATGCTAGGACATTTCCCCGAATTCCGTACCCTTCCAGTTTGATTTTCAGCCTTTCGTCGGGTATACTGTCGAAAGCCTTGGCAAAATCTAGGTAAATATTGCCGATATTACCACCCCGTTCCAGAATATGGGTCCAAATATCCAATACCTTGAGCAATTGTGTTAAGCAGGAGCGCCCCGGCATAAAACCGTGTTGACAATCCTTGACAAGGTTGTTTCGTAATAGATGTTCCATTGCGGCATCTCTGATAATACTCTCAAGTACTTTACATATTATGCTGGTCAGGCTCACCCGTCTATAGTTGTTCGTGGAGTGACGATCGCCCTTCTTGAAGATACGACTCACATAAGCCACTTTCCATTCACTGGGGGCCTTTTGTTCATCCAGGCATTTACAAAACAGGATCTTCAGGGACTCGGCAAACTCGTTGCACAACTCTCTTAGCACTCTGGGATGCACCTTGTCAGGGCCGGAACTCGTATGTACCTTTAGCTTTGACAGTTTATTTTTAATACCCTCTTCTGTGAAAACAATGTGGGTCAGTGCTGTGTCGAGCCATCTGTCCTTAAACGCAGGAGGTTAATCGCATCCTCTCTTGTGAACACCGAGGAAAAGAAGCTGTTCAATGCCTTAGCTTTATCCTGGCCAGAATCTGCGTAACTACCATCTTCAAGCCTCAGGTCTGATACTCCTACTCGCGTTTTTAATTTCAACTTTGCATTGCGGTAAAACGCCTTTGGGTTTGACTTGACCTCGCTTGCAACCAGCCTCTGGAACTCCTTTTCAGCCCTTCTACGCTCTATCTTTGCTTGGTTTCTGGCTCTTGCATACACCCTCCTGTCCTGCTCATCATTTGACCCAACCCACGTCTTGAATTTCTGGGTTTTCTTCTTAACTTTGTCGACCTCCGCATGGTTCATGTGTAGGGATCCCCTCGTATTCCTAGAGGCACTGGGTTTGGTCTTGAGTATATATTTATCGACTAAATGGATCACTTTACTAGTTATGATATTCAGCGTAGTGTCTGCGTTCTTGTACCTTAATAAGTCAGGCCAGTTGATACCTCTCATCTCTTCCCTCATTGTAATTTCCCTTGTAATATTTGCACCTTGGCCTGGCCTTATCTTGAACTAGGTAACAGTTAAATCTGAATGACAACACTATATGGTGACTGGTGCCAACTGGGGCAAGGTGTTCCAGTTTGGCCACCATACCATCCTCATTTGTTATGGTGAGGTCAAGTGGCTTGGGTGTTTGCTCCCCTCTGTAATGTGTCGGGTCTCTAACATGTTGGAACAGAAAATTATCTCTCAGAGTTTCTACAAAAAGAGTAGCAGGGTTATTCAAGTCATTTGGGGTGAAGTCGTTTCTCCAGTCGATGTCGCCATAGTTAAAGTCCCCCATGATAAGGAGGTGGTTATGGTTGAGGATTGCCGCTTTATCTATTAAGGCTCTTAAGTTCCTTTGATTTAGTGGGCCACAGTTTGGGGATCTGTAGATACACCTGACGATAAGTAAGTCCCCTCCTTTTAATTTAATTATACACCACTTGGTCTCTTCAAAAACATCCTCTCCCTGTACCCTCGCCTGGCTGGCTCTAAGGTCTTGCCTAGCATAGATAACCACACACCTCTTGCAAGTTTCTTGAGAAAGGTTCGTAAATGAGTCATATCCAGCAATACTGAACTCACATTCCTCTGGGTCGATTCTCCTGTTCTTGTTCAACAGTTCGACAACTCCCACAATATCTGGTTGGTTGTACTTTCAGTAGTGTTTCAAACTCCTCTCTCTTATCAAGAAACATGTCAGTTTTAGTGTACATGACATTCAAGCCAGAATTTGTTCTTGGTAACGTCTCTGCTCTTAGTAGTAGCCCCCCCCCCCAATTCTCAGAAGCTGCAGCATTTGCTAAGTACACTGTATTTTGCAGGGTGTGGATAGAAATGTCATTGTGTACACGGCGCTCGCCTCCTCCTGTCTGGTCGGCAGAGCTGGTGCCACCTCTCGGGTGGGGGGAAGAGCGGGTGGAGGGTGCACTGCTGTCCCCTGGCCCTGTTTCGGCACACTTGCTTCCACTACCCTCCCCCTGAATATAACCCATGTACACCCGTCCCCGTTCCTCCTCCCTCTTCTGCTTCAAGTCCTGCAGGAGCTTCTTGTGCTGTTCCCTCTGCATTACCGTGTGATCTGGGTGAATGAATACACCCCGAGATTCCTCGCTTCTTGCTAAGTTTTTTGCTTGCCGAATAACCCCCCATTTCTCCTCCTTGCTCACTAGTGTAATCCTGAGGGGGCGAGTCTTATCCCCCTGCTTTTGTCCCAGCCTCCTCACAACCTGTGGAGTTGATGGCATCTTCAGAACCTCTGCGCAAATATTCTTAAACAGCATCTTATCGTGTGTTACCTTACTTTCAGTTCCCTCTTCCTGGCTCTCGGAGACTACAAAAACTATTACATTGTTCCTGCGCTGGAAACGTCCCCGTTGTTCCTCTCTCCCCTAACAATAGGTCCGTTAATATTCATTTCTTCGACACACTTCTTCAGAGTCCCTAGCTGCTGTAGAACCTGTTCTGATCCTGCATTACTCTCCGCCACCCCTCGTGGCCCTGCTAATGCCTCAGCATAACTCCTCTAAGCAACCACCTCCATTCTATCGGCTACTTCCTCAGTCTTAGCAAGGATCTCTTTCCCAACTTGCTCTAGTTTGGCAACCAACAGGGCTCCAGCTTCATCTATTTTCGTCCCTATTGAACTCGTTCCCTTATATCTTGCAATCGCCTCTTTCACCTTGACTACGCAGTCAGGGCAATACCAACAACAGTCTTCATGCTTTACGGCAGTTAGCATCTTCCTAAACTTTGCATTGGTCAGGCCTGTATCATCCATATCCGTCATCCACCGCAGTAGTCACATATCTTTTCTTTTCTTTTCTTTTATCCTCTTCGCCACTGATCGGCTTGTTAGCCGCTTGGGCGATCGGTCACGTCTCTCATTACTTTTCCTTTTCATTTATCCTCTTCACCAAAAGATCGGCTCGCTAGCCACCCGGGCGATTGGTCACGTCTCTGTCACGCACTGTTGGCAGATACCGGGCATGCACCAGCTCCTGAATGTACCTGAACCCGCTCCAGTGTTGGTCAAGTCTTCTCTTGAAAGAGCTCACACTCGGTGCCGTCACAACACTCTCTGGTAGATTGTTCCAAGAGTTTACAACCCTCACTCCGAAAAAGTTTGCCCTCACAGTTTTCTGGACCAATCTTGAGCTGTGACCCCTTGTGGGGCGAGCGTCCGCCAGCTCCAAGTAAGGACACTCAACTGAGTAGTGCCCCCTGAGATGCTTATACACCTCAACTAGGTCCCCCCTTGCCCGTCTGTAGTATAAGCTAGGCAAGTTCAGGCGCTCCAATCTCTCAGGGTAGCTGAGATGCCGAAGTGCAGGCACCAGTTTGGTGGCCCTCCTTTGAACATTTTCAACCAACTGACAGTCCCTAGCATATCTCGGGGACCAGACGGGGTGACAGTACTCCAGATGGGGAAGCACTTCACCCTTGAAAATCGTTACGAGGGACGGACCGTCTAGATATCTGAACGACCTTCTTATAAGACCCAATAATTTATTTGCCTGATTTACCTTCTTCTGGCAATGGCCCGAGAACTTCAGCTCATTGGCGTCATCGGCAAACACAACTGATGTCGATGTTATTTGACGTGTTATAGCATTGTCCGATTCTCCAAGAAGATGCAACTTGTCATAATATGATATAGAACAATGCGTAAAATTTTTCATTAGGGAGTCTTTATTATTGATCGATAAAGTTATGAGTAATTTCATATTTATGTTTGATGTGAAATTGACTCTAAGTGCTATTAGAATTATTATCTAAAGTCAAAGAAAGCTAATAGAACACAGGAAAAAAGCGGAGTCGCATAAAATTGATTCAATTCATTTTATTCTTATGATGATTAGATTAATATATGAATGTTTAATTTTTGAGTTGGTCAGCAGGCACAAAAGAATAGCATTCATTACTAAGTAACTAATATTTTATTATTTTGGTATCTATTTTAAAATCTATTTTTTGGTAAGTTTTACACTGACAGTCATACAGAAACCATGAATATACACACAGATTGGTAATTTTCCTGTGTGTTGTATTAGAAGAAACGAAAATGGCATTATAAATTATATATTGCAACTAGTGTAATAAGAGAGTAAGATTACTAGCTGTGTAAATACTATACATATAAACACACTTCACCTTTAAAGGTTTAAGGAGACAAGGTATCTAATGCAACAAATACCTTTTAAACTATATACTTAATATACAAACAAACAATCATCCTGAACTCTATCAGTCCCAAAGATGCTAAAGTAGTTATGATCAGTTTAAGATAAGGTCAATACACCTGTTTGGTCTCAGTAGGTGTGGTGACTATGACATGACCTCTGACGTGTTAACAGCTCGGAGAATAAGCGACTCAGTTACAGGTACGAGGGCTGGTGGTGTTGCTCCTGGCAGCTTGTCGTACACATTCTAAGTTCTCTGACAAATTAAGCAGTTGATCATGGGTATGTTTTTAATTTACTGTATGTGTATTACTGCATTATTTATTGAAGCTGATACTTAACATTTGTAGGTATGAAGAACAGACCTAACCAACCTAACCAAAAAAACCTACCTAACCTAACATTCTCACCCCCGGTATATTAAACAGAAAGAACTTACTATGATATGTTGAAATTTGAGGCATTTTCTGGACGTGAGATGATACGGTGCTTACTGAACCTGGGCAGCAAAGTGATTTGTTATTGAGGTGGTGGGAAACGCGAGTCACAGCGGCAATGAAATGATGGATGATTGTTTCCAAACAACAACTGACTTAGCACACAAACCCAGTTTTATTTCACAGTATTGCTATGAACAATACTTTCTACTTAAAGGAACGCTGCTGTGGTCTTTGAAAAACATAAGGTCTCGTCTTTATCCCTAAATTCGCAAATTACATCCATATAAGATCAGCGACAACCATCACACGTCATGCTGAAAATGAAACTGCCGCAGGGGAAGAGACGAAGACAAGACTCTCTCTTGAGCGCTGTCTCATTACCGCCGGCAAGACGCAAGGCAAACTAGTGCGTGCCTAGGCGCCTAATTATCCATGAAACGAACAATTTCCACAAGAATTGATTATTACTGTATATCATAACTCACTGATGAAAATAATGTAAGAAAATATACAGTAATGAAAATAACTCGTCAGCGGGTTAGTCCTATATATTAACCCAAATCTGACCTTTAATTCTAACACTAAAGACACCAAACCTAACAAAACCTAATCTGACTGGGGTTCCTCCGCCGCTGCTTGCTCCTCCTCCATTGATGTTTGCTCCTCCTCCGTTGTTGGCGGGAATGTCTCGGCGGCAACCGTATATGAACTGGCAGCTTCGCCAGTCATCTTTATGTTGTGGAAGTTATACCGACACTTAAATCCTTAAAACCAGCCTCGGCTGGCCGTAAAGGTCTCTTCCTTCAATCCTTCACCCTCTGTTTCCTTCATGTTGTCAATCAAGGATCTGGCCTTATGCTGGATAACCATAAGGCTCACAGGTGCATTGCATCGATTCTGGTCCTCCATCCACATTGCCAGCATCTTTTCCACCTTCTCTATCACAGTGCTTCTAGTACGAGTTGTCTTAGTAGCACTCAGAGAAGAACCACTTCCAGCACTAACCTTAATCTTGTCAGCGTTGGTCCGGATAGTACTCACCGTTGTGGGAGTTAGACCAAGCTCAGCAGTTATGTCCACAGCATGTTCCCCTTTTTACAAATTGGGTTAATACATCCATTTTCGTCACAAGCCTAATGGTCTTATGTTGCCTCCTCACTACACTAGCATCATTTGCACTTGATGGGCGCTTGGAAGCCATTTTGAATGGTTAAAGTATAGTTTTAGAGCAAAAGCACTAGCATACACGAATGATGTGAGTCGTAACAGAGACTGGCTTGCCGTCACTTAGGGATGCTGTGACGTTCCGTGAGTGAGGGCTGCAAGCTGAGCCGAGAGAGCGTAGCGCGGCCAGACAAGAGCGGGTGATGCGCCGTAGAAAGTAGTCCGTGACGATGCAAAACGACTTAGTATTGGATCACCAGGACGGTAAACGAATTTTTGGTCTCTAAAGTTCAGCGACGTGGTACCGAAATAACGTTAAGTGGGATGACGTTAAGCGAGGACTTGCTGTACTGTACTCACTTATGAAGGGTAAGAAAAATGTTGGTGGTGTAGAATGTTGGATAGACATCCTAGGTAGATGATTGTCTTCACTCTCTCAAGTCATTGAAGAATGTCTAACTTTCTACAGTAAATGTGGTCCTACTCTTCTTTGCTTTAATGTCCCTAGGCAGAGAGGCACTTAGAGGATGTGTAAGTTGAGCCATGGTGACGAAAACATGCGGAAAAAAATGTATTTAATCGAAGCAAAGTTTTAGTTGTGGCCGGACTGAGCACACTAGCTAAACTCTGACCCATGTGGCATGGGGACGCTATCCATGGACTGTAATGGATTCGACCGTTGACATGCTGGGGATGTTATTCATGGACTATAATGGAATCAACTGCTGGTCCACACATTTGTCTGAATTTTTCTGTGATATCCCGGCTTAACCTGTGTTCGAGTGAAGATGTGTTGAACAAACTGGTGTTAAGTGAGGGGCAGTCTATATGTAGGATGATAGAGCTCAAGGAAATAAGGTTAAGATTTGTGTACAACTGTTAATTCTGTTGTTAAAATACTTTTTTTTTTTTTATACTTTTCGGTTAAGATTTGAAAAATGTCAATCACTGAACTCTATATTGATTTGTATATAAGGAGATAAAGCAAAAAATAAGAATACCTGTTCTTTACATTTTTTATTTATTTTTTTGAAATATATATTTTTCTCAAGTTTTCTGATTTCTCGATTTCAGGTTTGGATCCTTAGGTTCCTATGTTTCTTCCTTTTGTCATGTTAGGTTAGATTAGGTTTACACATTGGGGGGTCTGCTCCCCTGGCTAGGATATTAGATCAGGCCCTTCTGGTTAGGTTAGACATGTTCATTATACCGACTGCTTTTTGAGACGTTAGGTTCTTGATGATCTTTTTGTATATCAAAAATTTATTTTCTCAACTTTTCTTAGGATGTTCTTGATGAACTGAAGAACTTCTATTCTATTGGAAGTTTCTTAACTTTGCTCCTTAACCTGGGCACTTGTTCTTAAATATTACCAATAATAAGAACTGCCATCTGTTCAAGTTGGCAATGCTTTTGGAGCAAACAAGCTCTGCAACATCTATCCTGCATTGAGTGCTTGGGGATATCGGGGACTGTCGCACCGCCGGGAGACTGCTTTGGGCTGCCTCCTCTTTTCCATTTTCTTGGCTGCCTTCCTTACTCGTGCCAATGCCTATTTAGCAGGCAGGGAGGACATCCAGTACTGGATGAAGGGTCTTATAAACAAAAGACAACTCCAGGCAGGAACAAAGGTGTTGGCTGCATCCATCACTGAATTTCAGCATGCAGACGACCTCACACTCGGAATCAAGTATGACGTTCTTCCAGCTATGAAACAATGATGTGAGTTATTAAGGATATCGCCAAACTTGGTGAGTTTTAAGGTGACTAAAGAGGCCGATACGGAACCGGCAGGGTCATTCACAAATGTTGCACATATGGATGGCTCTATCTAGTGCGGGAGGGGCGGCAGCAGTGTCTTTCTGGTGTTGGCACTTATGTGCCTCGGTGTGCAGTCGGGTTAATTCAAAAGTATTGATACCTTCTCGTGTGGTGCTCCTCCAAGCTTTACAGTGTGGAGTGATCATCTCCCAGGTGAGGGGAGTCGATTTGGCACTTTTTCAGGTTTGTCTTAAGTTCATCCTTATACCTTTTCAGTTGCCCGCCACCGTTACGTTTACTATTCATTAGATGACTGTAAAGTAGCTGCTTTGGCAGCCTGCTGTCATCCATGTAGGTAACATGGCCAGTCCAACATAGTTGTTCATGGATAATTGTAGCCTCGATGCTCCTAGCAAGCTGCGGCATTTTGAATGTCCACACCATGTACGGTGACGCCTGTTGTACGTTTCTGCTTTTCTTTTTTTTATCACATTCGCCACTTATCCAGTGTTAGTACAAAAGGGAACCGGGGACCTGGAAACCTGTGGTGTTTGGTAAGGGTCACCCTGGATAACACCCTTCTCACGTGTGTCCGGGCCAAGGCTCGAACCCTTGACATTTTGGTGAGAGTTATGCGCGTCACCGCTGTACCACTTTTACACAGCTTGATCTAAATCAGTAAATTTTGCTGGCTTAATTCTTTTCTGTACTTTTTTCGAATTGCCAACATCCTCTAGAGTTAGAATGTACTTCCGATTCTTGTCTTGATTCTCTTTTATATCGTAAAATGTGCTGGACTTCATCCCAAACTCCTCACACACCATATGCATGGATGCGGCAGCATCCACTCGGTCTAACACTTTATTTTTATTGTGAAGACTCAGGGACCTAAGCTTCATGCTCTTCCCATAGCTCCTTGAGGGTGCAGATGTTTGATGAGGGAGAACACAAGCAGAGAACAAAGTGTGGAGAGACCAGCTGTGCACACCCGACTGCAACAATAACGAGCGCTAGACTGACTCATGCTTAGAGCGCGGCCCAGCCTCTCGGCGTCCCTCATGGCGTTACTCTTACCCACGTGCTAGATATGCCGAGATTTTTCCAGATAATTTTATATATCTCGACTTTTCCTGAGTTATACAGGGTGTCCATAAATGATTACCCTGTACTATAATACATTCTGAAACCACATCTGTGCCAAGTTATATGAAATGCCAAGTTATCGAGGGTTTACTGAACATAAAATGTCTTAAAAAGGAAACATCTGTTAGTGCATTCAGCCTGAATTTTATTTTCAAGAAGTACAGTAGAACTTTAATAAATGAGACTAATTGGGGCAGACCCCAGTCCAAAAAATGCGAAAGTCCCAAAGAAGTGAATTAGGGGGGGGGGGGGATGAAGATAACACTGCTTATCTGAACTGTTTAAAGAAAATCAGTTGTTGTTATGTTATTACTGACTTACAACAACTACGGTCTTTAACTGTATGACAAGGTTATTAAAAGAATATTATATCAACAAGAAAAAAAAGTATATGAAACAGAACTCTCTGGGTTGAAAATCAGACATACAAGTCTGGATGTTGTCACTGATTGTTTTACTGTAAAGTGTTATATGCAAGTAACCACAGAATTTGTCTTGTGAATAAAGAGAAAACTGTATACAGTACTGTGCAGTACTGTAAAGATAAAACTAGGACAAATAAGTGAGAGCAGCTAGCAGAGGGGAGGGGTGCAATTCCACCACAATTCTCATATAATTTAGGGTCATATGGTGCCAGATTGATAAATTATTATCCTAAAAGAATCATCTTTCCTCAAAAAAGAATCCCACACTGAAAACCGTGAGTCATTGTTTACAAAGAGCAAACAGTACAGTACAATTGTGTATTATTTTATCCTCACTTAATAAATACTATTGTTGTGTATTTATCATCAATAAGTAATATTGTAGTGTAAAGTATTATGCATCTGCATATTCCCTGGTTTATTCATTAATCATTTGTCTAAGTGTACAAGTAACCAAATTGAGTCATCATATAACACTCAAAGGTGGTAAGTAAAGTTTTTAAGAAGGTATCTTTATATCAAATACTATACAGTGTGTTACAGTGACCCTGTTGTAAGCTGGTCTACTGAAAGCTCTCACATGAACGCATCGTGAGTAAATAACCTTCTGATACAGCTTATCCTTTTATTTTTAAGTCATATTACAAATTACATACAGTATTGTATTTTATCTCTATTACTGAAGATGTTATCTTAATCATGATGAGCCATAAGAGGCCAATCATGAGAATATAATACTGAATCAATAAATAAATAAACCTGACAAATGAGGCAACACCTGATCAGCCCCAGCCAGCTTACATACTGAAGTGTTTTAGTTCTCAGTGGGCCTATAGTAAATCTCATAAGACCACTGTACAGTATTCAGTAAGTGTTGTTCATTTCATAAACAAATTTTTATTAATCTTCCCCATTTCTAATTTTTTTTCTTATAGTATTTCTGGTGACCAAAGCATTTCAGAGTCTGAAAAAAGTTAATTCCGATATATTGAAGTCCAATTTATCGAGGTTTAACTGTAATGGTTTTGGAATATTTCAAAAGTACTGTAAAGGTTTTGGAAACTATTTCAGAATTTTATTTCTGTAATTTTCTTTCAGCTCAAGTTTAAGTTGGCTTATTAGAAAGCCTCATAATACTCTTTTTTTTATTCAGGAGAGTCATGGGTGCAATTTGAAGTACACATTGCCATCATTAATTTGATTCACTTGATCCCAAAACTGTGATATTTTATAAAAAAAATTATTGGACTGTACAGTTTTCTTTTATGTGTTCCCTGTGAAATTCACTGTTAATCCTGAAATGGAATGTCATACTACCCTGTATATGGTACATCAAGTTGTTACATTAATTACATAAATTTATTCATGTGAATATTATTCAATAAAATTTTTCAGGTGCCAATTTTAGAAATTCTGAATATCGTAAGTATAAAGATGATCACACATTTGTTGCAGAGCACGTTGCTTCCCTGAATTGATTGCAAAAATGCTGAGCATTTTTTTTTTTTTTTTTTTGCCTCCTTGATCAAGCTTGCAAGATCTTTTATAGAAAACACGACACATTTCAGTCAGATTTCCATCTTTTATGGTCACATTTTTTATTTGTTATCCAATCACTGTAGGGAATAACTACTGTTCTCTACTGTACTGAATAGTATTTAGAAAGTGTGTTTAAATTGCTATGTCTGAATCAATGAAAATTAATGGTTTCTGATTCACCACTTTTGTCAGTACAGTATTACAATAATGAGCATATGTTTTGAATTGCTTGATCCATATTCTTGGCTGAGGGACTCGGCATTTATATTTATATATTTTTTTAATTTAACGAAAGGATAGAATTGACATTCAGGTAGGCTTGGAAGTGGATCTTATCATTCAGCATATGCAGTGTGATTGCACAGTACAGTAATATATTGATTTGCACAAAATGTAATTTGCTTAAAAATGCATTGAGCTTTTGCTCACTTAATTTTTTGGAGGTAAGGTGGTATTCCTTTTGTTTTTGTTATACTGTACTATATTGTACTGTACTCGTTTGAAATACCTGTATGTGTTATTTAATGTTTGTACACTAAGTCAAAATATAAATACAGACCCAGAGAAGAGGTTTTTAACTCTTATTTTTAATTGACATAATGTATTGATTTTTTATGGTGCAGGTGTGAGCACAGCAGCGTCATTTGGTTTGGCTATCCTGTGCTGCGTGTTAGTCTTTTCTGGGCTGCAGATGTACAAGACCCAGTTGGGTGCAACAAGACTTATGAGACTTGTTGCTGGATATGTTGCATCCTGGCTCTTCGTCTTCACATTAACAGTATCCTTTTTTAAACCAAACAAGGCATTATTAAGAGTTACTGCCTTCATACAGAGGGAACTTGAAGGATATCACATTAGAATAAAAAGTACAATTTATAATTTTTGATGACAGTATTTAGATTAATAAATTTATCTAATACAGAAATGTATTGACACCTCGGAACTTGTTAAAGAAATCCCTTTGTAATTGTTAATTCCTGTCTTTGCTGATGATTATAAGGAACTTGATGCTGTTGTAATTTTTTGTTATTGTGACCCTCTCTGTACTGTAGCTTCTAATTTGAGATGTATTATTTTTTCCTTAAATGATAAACAGGCATTGAGTAACTTGGAAAATGTCATGTTCGGAAAAGGATTTCAAGCTCGTGTGATTCCTGAAGTACTTCTGTGCATGATCCTTGCCTGCTCTGCTGCTGGTATGGTCCATAGAGTCTCTGTTACTGTATGGTAAGTTTGATGTTCATTGTATAGTATACAAATATGATTGTTCTAAAAATCATAACTAATATGTTTAAAATGAAATTAGTTCATTACAATGGTCCCTCGGTTAATGAACATAATTCGTTCCACAGAGTCGTTCGTTAACCGAATCCATTGTTTCAATGGGATTTTGGGTAATTGGTTCCAGCTCACAGAAAAGTACATACAAAGTAAAATAAAAAATTGCAGTAAAGTACACTTACTTTGAGGTGTGTATGTAGAAGGTTCCTGGTTGATGATGGGAATTAGAAGTGGGGGTGGAGGAGAAGGGAGAAGGAAGTGGGGATGGAGGAGAATTCACCTTTCAGGGGACCCATGCTTGATGCTGTCATTTCACCAATAAAATTTTTGAGTTCACTAGGTGTAATTCAAGATTATTTTATTTAAATCAACACTGCACTGCACTATATATTATCAATATGTTAACTAAATTTCAGAATAACCAATAATTTCAATGTAAAAATGCAAAAATATTCAAGACACCAACAAAATAGATGTTCACTCCACTGTCAACAAAGCCAAACTGACGCCTGGTGGCTGAGTCAAGCATCTGATGGGCTCCCAAAAAACTAGTTCCCTGTACTGCATATATTATCAATATGTTAACTAAATTTTAAAATGACTAATAATTTTAATATAAATGATGCCAATATATTAAAGAGCACAACTTTCTTGATATATACTCCACTGGAAACGAATGTAAACATAGAACAGATTACTGAATTGGCAAATTAGTTCATCAGCTAATGCTCACAACAAAACGTGTTGTTCGTAAGGATTTCGTTAATCGAAGTTTTGTTCATTAACCGAATTGAAGATCCTTACGGGAGGTAATTTGTTAACCAAAATTTCGTTAAGCGAACCGTTCGTTAACCGATGGACCACTGTATTGTGTGTACATGTGGGAATGATACTGTATTAATTAAGGCAATTTTTCTGTGTTGATTTTATGCCCCCATCATAGAATGTAAGGTTAACTAGCTACCAGTTCATTCATATGAAATCTGTTTTGGTTCAGCAACTTGTGAAAGACTTTGCAGATTGAAATTACACTAATATTGATTTGCATTTTTGTATCTGAAATATCTATGTTGGCTTCAGCAATCAGATTTTCCATATACGTACAGGGGGATCTCATTATACGAGCATTCTTTATACGAGAATTCGATGATATGAGAGCGATATTGTTCGATGATACGAGAAGCGAGTACAGTGAACACTGGCGTTAGTTGTGCTACAGACTTTTTCTTTTGAAGGATTCCAGCTATACAAGTTATATTCTGCTAAGTTTAGTCAGTGACATTTTATAAGATAAAAACTTAGAGCCTAAAACTACCTTCACCCTGGCTGGGAGGAAGGGGGGTGAGGTGTTGATAGGCATGTGGCGAAGATTACCTAGTGTGTATTTATCTTTCATATAGAGGGAGTTTAAGTTTTTCGCTTAGAAAATGTCACTGAATTGACTTGGCAGAATATAACTTACATTGCTGAAATTCTTGTAAGATAGTGATTAATTTGAGAATAAACATCCCATAGTTTGCACTAGACATAAAAATATTAGTAATTACTACATTTGAGTACAGGTTTGCCCTTAGGACAATTAATTCTTTTACTTTTTTCAGAATATCTATTTAGGATGGTGTGTGCATGTAAATGAGTAAAAATAAACAACGAAAGTTACATATATCTACCCGAAAATACGAGATGAAAACGCCGTTTTTTTTCTTCTAAAAACCAGTTTTTGTGATATAGCCCAGAATGTGACGCCTAACTTTTAACCTAGGTATGTTAATGCCTAGCAATAACTCGCCAGTCCAACATATAGGCAATTAAAACATCTAATTATTACTTAATAAGTAATATTAGGAGGACACGTCGCTACCTGGCATTTAATTGCAATTCTCGAAACCCCCTCCCTCACCCCCCATCATACGCACTGCCACCGTCATCTCTTGCCTTAGAGTGAGCAGTAAACAAAAGTCAATTCTCGAGGGGTGGAGATGGGTGGGTTATCGGCGTCGCATTCTGGGCTATATCACAAAAACTGGTTTTTAGAAAAAAACGGCTTTTTGTTCAACCCCAGAATGCGACGCCTAGCTTGAATACCCGAGCAGGAGGTGGAGAGGGAGGTGACTTTGCATACAAGGCTCCGCTAGCTTAGGTCCAGATTATGGTTATAAACCGTTTAGAATATTTCCAAAATTAGGAACATTTACCGGAAGGTAAAATGTTAATTTACATATCTCAATGAGGATACTCACTTTATTCTGATGAGGAAGAAGGTCCTGGTTGTGGAGATTAACTAGGTGGAGGAGGGGACCCCAGCACCACCACATGTGAAGCATCTCTCAGAGATAGATGAAGATAGCTGTCTTTGAAAGTTTTTGAAGATCTCCAAAAGCTCATTTCCTTGATCTGACTGAGGCTCATATGCCGCAGAAAGGCCACAGACCCTGCGTATTTCCTAGTGTCATGTGCCCAAAATTTCTTGGCAGGGTCTGCTTGATTCACTAATTGAGATAAAGATTTTGTCATTTGACTAGAAGACAATTTCTTACCATCCCTAGATGAGAAAACATAGGGGCCTCGATTAGGGAATCTGGTGAACCATTCCTGAAGATTTTTAACTGGCCACAATATATGAGGAACCCTTGTCTCATCCATTAGGCATTTTATCCTAATAGGTTGAGCTTGAAAATCTTCCCTTTCATTTTTTCTTATGATCTTCGTAGGAAAAAGGGTAACATCCTCCTCAGAAAATACCAAAAATGATGGATTATTGGAAATTGAAATCAGTTCACTGATTCTCATACCTGTTGCTATTGCTAGAAGGAAGGCTGCCTTCAGGAGCAATCTGTCCCGGTTCAGATTTATATTGTAATTTGGCCCCATAAGAAATTTAATAACTTTTTCCAGAGACCAAGGAGGGATTCTCTTAGGCCGAGTGGAGTCTGTGAATGAAAAAGGACGATATTAGCATTTGATAAATCCTTGGGTTCAAGGTAATATTAAAACCCCAAGCCAGAGGGTCAACCAATGCTGATTTATAAGATACAATTGTCGATCCTTGAAGGCCTTTAACTCTGAACAGAAATTCTAAAAATTCTAACACCACTGTTCTGACAATGATTCTGGAGTTGTTAACTTGATAAATTGTTGAAAGAGATCCGAAGCTTTCTCATATTGAGTAGAAGTTTGGGGTCTATGACCTGCTAATACTTGATTAGCTATATTGGAATTACCCAACAACCTATTTAAACTCCTTTTGAGAAACTCGAAGCGTGAAGTGCCAAGGATATTTCAAACTGAGAATGTAGTGCCTGGTCTAGACATCCTTGTTGCAATTGTAGCGGTTGCGGGCACCAGTCCAACAGATCCAGGAACCAAGGTTGTAGGATCCAATATGGTGCAATTAAGAGGACCTTGCCTTGGAAGGATCTGAGTTTGTGAACCACTTTGGGCAATATTTTCACAGGTGGGAACAGATAGATTGAATTCCAAAGGTTCCAATCTAAGAGTAGAGCATTTCCTAAAAGATTTGACCTCTCCAAAGATGCTTAAAGTTGCATCTTGTGATTTTTTAGGGAGGCAAAGAGATCTATCTTTAGAGTTCCAAACTTCTTCACTAGACTCTTGAACTCTGATACCTTTAGGGACCTTTCTGTATCTGTCGATACTGGCCGGAGACAGGACAGCGCGTCTGCCCAATTGTTTTGCACTCCTGGTATATAAGTTGCTTTGAGGTAAAGCGTTTGTGTTACACAAACTCTGAAAATTTTTTCTGACAGTTGTAGAAGGGGCCAAGACCTGGTTGAGCCTTGATGATTGAGACAAAACACTACCGTTTTGTTGTCCATGGCAAACAGGATATATTATGTAAATTTGGGTTTGCCGACAAGAATAGGACCACTGCTAATTCTTTTACATTTATGTGTTTGTCCCAAAGGAAGTTGCTCCACTTCCCTTGACTGAATTCCCCTTTTGAGGAATGGTATTCCCATCCTATTTCGGATGCATCTGTACAAACGACCAAACCTGTTTGAGGCGGAACCCAGGGAGAGGAACCGATTAGATTGTCCAATTTTGTCCACCATAACAGATGATTCTTTATCTGAATAGGGAGAGAAGAAGCCGTATTTCTGCTTCTGTGAATCAACTTCGAGCCCAGATTAGATAGTTGCTTTTTCCTTAACTTTCCCAATGGAACCACTATTGTGGCAAAATTCAACAGACCCAGAAGTTTTTCCCAATGTGCCAAGAAACCTTGTGTTTTACACAAAAGGCTTCTACTTGGTTTATCACATCTGTTACTCTTGCTTCTGGTAGACTGACTGACTGCTGATTTGTATCCCGCTGGAGACCTAACCAATCCAACTTTTGACATGGTATTAAATTTTATTTGACCTGGTTTATCTTTAATCTTAGGTTTTGAAATAGTACTAGTGTACGTTGGGTCGCCCTTTGACTCTTCGAAAGAGTTTCCCACTATCAGCCAATCGTCTAGATAAACAAAAGTTCTTATGCCCTCCTTCGCAAGGATCTCTCTGGGGATATTCACCAATTTTGTAAAGACTTTTGGCGCAATCGTCAGGCCGAATAGCATCACTGTGAATTGATAACTTACATCCCCTACTTTGAACACTAGAAACTTTCTTTACCTGGCAGCAACAGGAACGTGATAATAGGCATCTTCGAGATCCACTTTTGAGATCCAAGCATTGGGCGGAAGTAGATGCCTCAGATGATCGTAAGTGAGCATCTTGAAACTTCTTTTGGAATAAATTTTTTCAGGACTGAAAGATCCAAAATCCATCTTAATTTGTCGCTGCCTTTCTTGGGGACTGGGAATAAGCGAGACATGAAGCATTTCTCTGACTGTAACAGTTCTATGACACCTCTGTTTAATAGTTGAATTACAAATTCTGTAAGTAAGGGGGTTGGTTTTTTACCCTTTTTTGGTAATGCTA